ATGTATAGCTCTGGACTCATAACACAAGAAAACATATCTTGAATTTGAGAATAAACTACAAGATTATGATTATAAATCTGAACCAGAATTCCAAAGAGAAAATTCAGAGAGAAATACATTCTTGGAAAGTAATTAATGTTTACCAAGTTTATGTATTTAAGTATCTTTGTAACAGGATCGAGAGAAAAATAAACAAACAAAACTCATTTGTAAACTTGCATTGATTTAATTCAAATCACATTTTTGAAACATGATACAGAATAAGAAATAAAAATAGAAAAAATTGTCTTTGGAGTATGTACATTATAGTATGGATTTTATGTATCAAAATAAAAACACATTTACAGGACCTATACATTAAATTGTCCAGCGTTTTGGTTCTTTCCTGGAGTCTTCTTATATAAGGCTTTCTGCAAAAATATACATGACGTATACAATTCACCTGTAAAAAGAAAAAATCGATTTAATGATTTGAAAAAAAAACCTGGTATGCAGAATCAATACTTCAATTACATGTATATAATAAGTATATCTAATATAAAAAAAAATAAAAATGATTGGAATCCTTGTAACGGGAAAAACATATGAAAATGAAAAAAAATATGCTGCTTTACAGCTATTCAGGAGAAATTATGACTCTATACATGTAGTGATTTACAATATCTTATTGATAACCGCATAAGTCATAATTAAGAAGTTACTTTATCACATTATACTAATACTGCATAATTATACCTGGTCTTCAACCAAACTAACAGAAATAATAAATATTGATAGTAACACATGTAGATTGCAATCTTATTAAAATTAAACAAAAGCGGCTTTTAAAAACAGCTTATTCCACAATCTATATTGAAAAATATGACATACTTTGTGTAATATGTTTTGCTAAATATATGAGATAGTAAGTCAGCTCACCAGTTTCCCATTTCTAAGTGTTTACACCATTACATTTTTCTTTAAAATTTTAATTAATCTTTTGATTAATATATCACAACAAATCAATCTTGGTTAATGTTTGTTTCAGTACAGAGGTTAATATACTGAAAGATACTATAGCAGCAACTATTACATATTTATATCAGGTATTGCAACATAAGGACTTGATTGTCAGACATGTTTGTTACATCTGATCTGACATTTATTAAACTATTATTTTTTGTTATTACCTGGTTATGTACGAAACTGTAATAATGTTGTTTCTATTCATTTTCCACCCATGTTGTAATGATGACCCAGGCCTATGTCCTTATCAACAAAGTTCTTGTGGCTGGTATAGTCAGGGTTAACATCTGCATGGTCACCAGTTATATAGCGATGAGTATTTTCTATGATTTGATATATCCAGGTTTAGCCCACAGTATTTTAGTTTCTGTCCTTACTTCCTGCAATGATAGAAAACAAATTATGCATCTTTTAAAAAAATACTCGAATTTGTTCAGATATGAATTTAATTTAATCTCATTTGATACACTGTACACAATACAAGACAAATACAATAACCAAAAAGGTGATTTGTTTACTTATTTTAAAATATTTCAATGCAATTATATCCTTTGATGTTTTGATTTGAAATGCAACCTGATTAGATATATTCCTAACGAAAGTTCACTCTCTAAAACGGAGATTACATGTAAAGAGGAAAATACTAAAGAGTCATAATGTACTGAAAGCTGAAATTACCTACAACAAATAAAAAAAAATAAAAAAATATGTGTATATACTATTTCCTATAAGGAGCAGACCTTGGAAAATATTTGAAAAAAAATGAAAGGAAATTACCTGTGATGTATTTCTTAAGTCTAGAAAGCTGGTCATGGCTCTTGTTAGTACCTGATCAGAGCATTGGTAAATTTGGTTGGTATCATATCACTGCCTTACGGGGCACATTATTGCCTATTACAATCACAACTCGTGTTTGTTTTCAGACATATCATAACAAAGCCC